TGAAACGGAACCAATGAATACCCCAATTTAATACGTAGTAGTAAGTACTTGGTGAGTTGGTGCACCAACTCTTGCTATTTAAGGACAGGGTCCAGGGTCCTATTCCTGTCCAGCCGGCCTGAGAGGAACCGTCATCCGGACAAGGCCATTTCATGCACTTCCTGGTGGAATTTTTTGATGAAATGTTTTGAGCATGTTCTTCATCAAGTCTAGTTTATCCATACCAAATTTTAGCTAAAAATGTAATATGGAAGGCAATCAAATAAATGATTTAAGAACGTTGCGCAATTAATATATATAAACAGCGCAGTACTTTTCAAAAAATCATTTGACTGCCGCGCCGATTGAATTTTGGCTGAAATTTTATATGGATAAACTAGACGTGATGAACAACATGCTTAAAAATTTTCATCTAAAAATTTCATCGGGAAGTTCCCGAAATGCCCTCGATCGGACGATAGTTCCCGTCAGGCCTGCTGGACATGAAAGATTCTCTTCAAGGACAAGTATGCCTTTCATCTAGTCTTTTTAGTTTACTTATAGTACCCCATAGACTTCTCTTCTCATTAACAATACTTTCGTGTTGAGATTCAATGTGGTTCATACATCGTACGATCGGCTATACGGCGTAAACTGTACATTCGGCTATAAGGCGTAAACCTTATGGCCAGTGACACTTTGTAATTTTAGGTGAAAATCACGACTTCTATGAATTGAACATCAATGCACTTTACTTATTGAACATCAGACATATTTTGTTGAGTATTAAAAGTCCATTATTGAGCACCGTGATCTCATTTCATATTTTCTAATTCACTTTTTTTTATAAAATGTCTTAAATTATACTCCGTATCTATAATCAATCCCTATGAATTCTAATATGTGAATTAATATATACTTTTGAAAAATGCATTAATATGAAAAGTAAGTTGTAGTAGTTGAGTATCAACATATTTTCATTTAGCATCAAACATGAACTATAAAAATTCCAAAACCTATTAAGCATCAACACATCTTGAATGACTATCATGCTCTATACTATTTAGCATCGAAAGAGTGTGGCTACTCTCGGGAAACCCGACAACTTAGCCGGTGTGGCGGTAGATAAGAGGCAGGGGCGGAGCCAGGAGGTGAGGATGGGGTGGGGGAGGGGGGGGCAAAATGCTACTACATAATTTTTTTTGAAAGGATGCGACTACATAATATACTTCTTCTCTTTAAGTTTATTATTACCTCAATTTTTCTTATAATTCTTTTTTATATTAGACACTTTGAAACTAATATCTTCAATATTGCTCCATAATATATTATCATAATCTAGTATAGTATAACTATTTCTCCAAAGTATAGTATTATAGATTTAATATTTTCCAAATAACTACTCCTAAAGAATATAGTGCTTTTATAGATATGATATTTCAATGAAGCATTGAAAAATTATAAGTGAAGTATAAACTATAAACATATACAGCATATTTTGAACTACTACGCACTACACTATTATAGAAACACAAAATTGGGAGGGAGGGGGGCAAAAAAAAAAATTACAAGCCAATAAGTCAATAACTAAAAAAAATCAAAGTCATGGGAGGGGCAAAGGCCCCCCTGATTTACACATAGCTCCATCCCTGATAAGAGGGAAGGAGGCAGTGATCACAAGATTCAGACGGCCTCGGGTGGCAAGAAGATTCCACCGGCCTCCAATTCTCAACAGGTCGAGCTCCTATTCAGCTCCTTCAAGATCATTGTCGAAGAGGCCCAACTGCAGGACAATACACCCCAATGATGCCCGAAATACTCACTAAAGGACTTGACTCGGAGTAATATATAAAACACAAATGCACCGAACTTTAATTTTATTAAACTTAATAAGTCAAGTCAATATTTTTATGCATGTAACACTTTGATGCATATGGCTGGTTCTTTAAAATAATTGTATTACCATACATTATTTTGTATGAAATGGTCTTTTTTTATTTCTTTGCTGAATTTTTAGTTATAGATAATTTGAGCAAAGCAGTACAATGAACCACTATCCTAATACTATTGAAGTGTGATGAAAACGGTTAGCAACACAAGAGGGGGGGTGAATTGTGTGTGTGTGGAACCGTGACAGTTTTTCGCCCAGTTCTAGTGCGGGGTAAAGGGAATTGCGAAATAGTAAAGTGCACAAGAATTTAACGAGAAAAAATCCCTTGGATTAAAAAACCTCGACCTCCCTCGGAGGAATTTTAACAACTTCACTAAAAGGCCTTTGAATGATTATAAGGGAAACTCTCCTAGTCTACCCTTGAGCCACCCCAACTCTATCCTCTCTAGGAAGAGTTACGCTTCTCTACCTTGTGGGTAGAGAGCCTCTCAGCTTTACAACAAAGCTCTCACTCACACAAATCAACCCGAGGAGGCTACTCTTAGCCAATCCTCAAAACCCCATTATAATATGAAGAAAGGAAAGAAGAAACTCTATCTAGAACTCCGAGTGAGCAGTTTCAGGTGCCTTGAACTTCGTATTTTTCTCGAGTGTGTCTCTGAATATTTCTCTGGTCAAGCACACTCCTTTCTCTTCAGCTTCTTCGATTATATATAGACTGCCTTAAATCCGTTGGAGCATTCTTCCTTTTAATAGATGATCTTCTAATTTTGGGACTTGCCTTGATATTTTGAATTGTTTTCCTTCCATAGAAATTGCCAAATCTGAGCTTTAATATATAAGTCAGTCAACCAAAATATCAAGGTAATAAATCATGCATCAGATCACGTGAGATTAATAAGGATTCCAAGCTTTTTGAATTTATTTCCAAATAAGGCGAGCTATGGTCAACTCTTTAAAAGGTAGGGAATTCTTCACAATAAGAGCAAAGAAGCAACGACCCTATGAGGATTCTTTTAAAAACAATTTCCTTATTTGAGTGGATGCAATCATTAAAGAACTTTATCAAAAAGATATTCAATTAATCATTTAACTAAGGATTACTTTTTCAAACCTAAAGGGAGTACTTAGCATGCTACGTATATAACCAATAATGTAGGGATCATGCACTCACATTTAAGTAAAGATACTTTCCATAAAGTAAAAAACTATATATTCCATAAAGTGATATGCCACTCAAATAAGCACTCATATAATCAAATTACGTATATATTATTCCCTATAATATTCTTGACAAAGAATGAGCACTCACATAAGGAAAGCACATTAATTTTCAAGTAGGTGCAATCAATATTAATTCAAACCATATCACGGAATAAGAACTGGGAGCGGTTCTGTCCGTCGTTCCACCTGCATGGTTAGTCATCAACTATAGACCAAAAGTAACACCAGTCGTTTGTCATCAACAAAACAATATGTTCCAACAAAGTGCATTCTCATAATTAAACTATAAACGACTCGATGCTTTTGTCAATTGGATCAATCCGTATGCACAACACTGTTTTTATTGCAACCGTTCAGCGGCAGAGAACCCCACTATTGTCATGACTCATGAGGCTATGGATGACCAGGGTTGGCGAATGAAAATTCACACTTTAGAGGATAATGGGACTTGAATTATGACCGATATTATATCCTAGTCAGTTTTGTTGCGTTTTAAACTTGTTTTTAAAACGCATAGCGTTTTTTCAACAAAAGAACACGTTCAAAACCAAAAATATTAAACAGGGAAAAACTCTTACTTCCCGTATAAAATGTATTTTTCTCAAATTATATAAAAAATAGAAACATGAACTTATTATTGAATGAGTGCATTAAATGCATAGGAGATCAACAATTGTTTAAAGAAAAAAAGGACAACCTTCTCCTCGTGATCCCATGTTTTTGTATTGTTACAATGCAATTATTAGATACTAAAATTAATTGAATGGCGGCTGAAGCTAGCTTTCTAAAAGACTAAGACATGAAATACTAGTGGATTTATGATGTTTCTCCTAACAAGCATATCAAAATTAAGGTTTTTCTAAACTTGACATTTTTTGGATAAACTTTTACACACATAACAATAATAAGCGTAATATAATTTTACACACATAACAATAATTTTTGGATCCAAGTTTTGGGGTGGCATGTATAAAGAATTTTGCACATACATTTTTACCCATATAATTTTACACCAGAAAGAAAAAATTCAAAGAATCTTTACCAATTTGCTCTCGCTACTTTCGGTTTGGTCTCGACTTTGGATCCCATTTGAGTTAAATGGGGGCTGGCGCCGATTATAGCTACAACCAGTGTCGATCTTGCTGGACGTACACTACATGCATGGTTTTGCATGGATTGTTGTGACTAAATGTTAAGGCTTGGACTAGTCTTTAATAATGATATGATATAGATGTAGCCGAATAAGGTATATGGGTAGATCATAGGTTTGGGTGGAGTACCCTAGGGCCAAGCGGTGTCCTTAAAACTCATAGGTTTGGGTGGAGTACCCTTGGACGGGCGGCCGGTGTCCTTAAAACTTGGATATTAGGTTTGGCGTACCCAGGGCATGGCAGTGTCCTAAAACTAGGAGATCGGGTGAAGTATCATGGGACCAGGGCGGTGTCCTTAAAACTTGTAATTACCGGGAGAATGACCCTGTGGCTGAGTAAGGATATCAACACGCAAGAGATAATGAGTTCTAGGTTGTAGCGGGAGAGATAGATACCGGAATGAATATGGGACGGGAAAAGTCAAGGACTAAGTCCGCCTTAATTTTATTTGTTTAAATCAAAAGACCTAAGGGTCCAATATTTTCTACGTATATAAATACTTTATGTAAAGCTTGGGAAGAAGGCTATATGTATTGTATCACATTATGTTTGGGTCTTATACTTGAAACATTACTATTCAATATTTATCTTGCGTCTCGCCGGTACGACTATACTGACCCTTTTGAAGGCCCTCACCATTTTCAGGTTAGAGCTAGGGCTTGCTACTTGCACCTTTACATTTAGTGAAGAAATTCCAAGGAAGACGTGGTTCATGCTTCTCTTTTCATTATTTTAGAGTAATAAACAATGTTCATGGATATTTGGATTTACTATAAATTATTTTAGAGTAATAAACAATGTTCATGGATATTCGTTAAGTATTTGAAATACGATGTCTAGATGTTAAATCTCAAATATGCCACTAGTAGCGAATTCAGCAAAATAGGGAAAGAAGGCAGCATAGCTATGGCAATTTTTTAACGCATGAGAAAATGAACACATAAAAGCTAACAATCTAATAGAGATCGATGACAGCCTTTGGTGAGGATCTAGGATAATTGAGCAAGGTTTGTCCTATATTGACAAAGACATTGGTATCTTCAATATGAAGACAAATATCCATCTCTTCCAATACTGGTGCCCTCTTAAGAAGGATTCTAGCCAACGTAAGCATTGGTTCACCACCAAGATTTGGATTTGCCAACTCATACATTTTGATCGTCTTCAGATGCAATAAGTCACAAACCAAATTATCCCTTGCAAGTGGGGCCCAGTCATGGTCCAACTAAAATCACAACAAATTTAAGATAAACTTATATTTAATAATGTGGTGTAAATGCATATTTTGAGGCTGTTTGGAATCTGGCGTATTGGTACAAAACGCCGTTTTCTTATAAAAGAAAACGCTAAGAATATCAACGTTTACAGATCAAAACGCCAAAAATCAAACAAGGCCTTTATCATAAAATACTACAAGTACACAGCAGTTTTTTTAATTACCTGAGACAAAAAATACAGATATTCATACCAAAAATCAAGGCTTGAAAAGTTAGCACTTACAGATTCGGGGTCATAAGAATTCATGACCAATGTCTCAATGTCTGGAGAAGATTCGAGCAAGTCTAAAATGCCAGGAATGGTTTGCCCACCACCATATATCTCATCTACTTCTAAACACCTTAGCTTATATTTTGGAAGCTGCCAACCATTAAGCACCAGCGCAGCAAGAACCTGGACATGATGCATAGAAACACATATATTATAGTTACAGTATATGCTAAGGTAGATCTCCGTGGATATATTCAACACAAGAAAATTATTTTGAATAGGGATAAGTTCAGTTTTAACCCGTAATAAAACATGAAACCCATGATTTGATTGGTTCGGTTTTTCAGTTTTTAACACAAAATTGTTGTCACTTGATTTAAAAAGTGACTCAAAAAGCAAACCTTTAACATAAAAAAATGCAAACAAACTAGATACGAAATGGAGAATGAATAAATATATACTTGAACTATACGTTAGAGACCACACATTTTTTTTATTTTTGGAACCACGTGCAAATTACGATTATATAGTATTGTGTATAAAAAAGAGATTTGAATATTTTTTATTTATGTACTCTCCTTCTGCAGTTGAATTATTTTGGAAAAATTGAAAATAATAATCCCAACTATTGCCGGTCCGCTGATAATAATCCCAACTATTGATTATTTTTGTATAATCCCAACTATATGGATCGTCCGCCAATAATGGTCCATGGTCATATATTATCTCCTATAAAAAGTGAATTTTAAATAGAAATTAAGTGTAAAAATTAAAAGTTGAGATTATTTATAGGGATTACTTGCTATATCACTCATCATCCACTTTAGAAACTACATGAATTTATTTCTATGGACCACTATTGGCGGAAGGTCCCTAAAGTTGGGATTATTCTAAAATAATCGATAGTTGGGATTATTATGGGCGGACCACCAATAGTTGGGATTATTCCTATCAATTTTTCCAATTATTTTTCTATTGTGTTTCAGTTTATTTTGATTCGATTTTTGGTTTCTAAAACTCACCAAACTTTTAAATATTCTTATTCCTCACACATTATAAACCCATGTTTGACCAGCTACCTTCCAGGATTTAACCCACATTTCACTTCAATATGTGAAATCGTGACTGAACACCGCACATGTGCAAAACAAATGAATTTTGATGCAAAACTAACAAGCTTGCAATCAATTAAGTTAGCTTATTGCTACTCTTTCTTGGAAACATGTAACACATACATGACACTCCTGATGTTAATTCTTTGATGACATATTTTGTCTATCAAAATTATATTTATGCATATTTTTAGAATTTGGTTCTGTACAAATCTTTTTTTTTTCTAAACTCAGTGTCTTTATCTAAAATGTATTTTCTCCCATAACTCTCTGTATAGGAAATGTAGATGAATGATGTATCAATTCGGTTAATGCCATGCCACTAGTGAGTAAGATGTGTTTGTTCATACCATTTATCACCTATGTTATCATTATGATCCCATGTTTGCATAAGTAATTTCTGCCTTTAAAAACAATGAGCAACCAACTATAAAATTTCAGATTGAAGACCATTTGGAAATATAGAAATTCAATGAGACTATTCAATTGAGAGACAACATAAATGAATTCCACTAAGATATTATTTTATAAGTTAGGCTAGATCATTTCAATTTCAATTTTTTAGACATAATAGTGGAAAAGAAAATCTGGAACATCAATACACACCTTAAGGGGTTCAGGACACAATTCAAGCTCCTTGACGTGATGAATCTTTTCAAAAATTTCTTTCGTACTACTCAGCACTTTCTCAGGAATTATTATATCCCAAAAGGGTTCAATAAAATCAATATTAGCACTAACAAGAGATGAGATGTCTTTGAGGTTTATCTGTCTTCCCATAGGATACAACCAAAGACTCAAATTTGTTATATAGGGTGCTGAAATTTGCAGGAAACCCTCACTTTCATCACCTTCAGAGTCCCTTATTTGCAGTTGACGTAGATTTTGAGAGTTGATCTCCAAACACGTGAAACCATAACACTCGCTCAGATCCAAGAATTTCAAAACAGGACAACCAGATAATATCTTTTCAACTACAGACTGAGGCAAATTCACTCCTGATATTTCTAATTTAGTCAATGACCACCACTTGATTGTTCTTTGAGGATCCAAAATGCAACCTTCTAAATACAATGAAGTCAAGGATGAATTTGAATAAATCATTTCATGAAGAATGTAGAAATCTTGACTGTTGTTCATTTCCAAACTAACTTCTTTCACCTTACTTTCCAAGGCAAACTGGATCCAGTTATCAACATCTGTAGAGAAGCAATCCTCGTACTTGAAAGTAACCTTCAACTTCTCAAGATAATTTCCACGACGAGTAGCAATGATCCTATTAACCCAAGCGACAAAGTCAGATGTAATCTCACTTTCCTTACTTTTAGCCCAACCATAGGAGTCGAATTGAAGGCTCGGTAATTCAGTCCAAAGAAGTTGCCATCTTTTCCCCAAAATACTCGTACTAGCAGCTTTCTTCATACCGAGTAAAGATATGATGTGAACAAGTAAGCAATCCGGTAATGCACTGATCCTATCAATTGAAACCCTAATTCGATTGTTTTCCCTAACATTTCCGTGAAAATAAATTTCTAGATTTTCAGCTCCAAATTCTTCTCCTTTGCATAAATCACTTTCTCCACATTCTGGAGTTTCTTTCTCTAAACCTTTTTCCCTCATCGAGGTGATAAAACACAATCACGAAATACAAGCATGGACTGTTCGAATCCAAATGACTGATTCCGTTGCCCCCGCTCGGTCAATAACTTTGTCGATCTCTGGAGAGAGAGATGTACCCTTTGCCAAAAACTGTGGTGACTAGGGTGTACAGTCTAACTGCGGCCAGGGGCGAATCCAGAACGTTACAATAGACGGGCTGAGAAATATAATTTGAAGACACATGCATAATGATATGTCAATACTTGAAAAAAAGTCAACGCTTTAATCAAAACATTATTTAAGTTGTGCCAGAGCCACCACTTTAGAGTAAAAAAACTCATCAATAATGGAATATACATCTATATTATTGACAAAATCTCATTCAATATAGATAAGTTTGACAATCCACTTTCATAAAGAATGATGAATCACCTCCTTTCCTTTCTTGGCAATATGTTGGTTATCCATTCTAAAAAAATTATACATCAGTGACGAGATAAGAATTAAAATACTACTACTCCGTATAAAAGTACAAAACAAATACATCAAAATGTTATAACTAATAAGTAATAGTAATCGTTTAACATTAACACTTCAATCTAATTCCGAATTTAAAAATTGAATTTAAATTTTTTAATTCTTTCTTACACGCCCAAACAATAAATAAGTCATTCTCTAATCTTGAATTGTATATGAAATTGTGATGTATTACAATTAAAAGAACTACACTTATGAATTACATTTTAAATTAATAGAATTAAGACATGTACTAAATTGAATAGAATTAAGACATGTACTAAATTGACAATATCTTTAATCTTTATAATGAATAAACACATTTTTATTACCTATTAAAAAATTCAACTAATAATCCATTAGAATTAAAAAACAAAAAAGTAATAGGCAAAGAGTAAAACCTGGACAGCGGATTGCTAAACTGGGAATCGGAGAGAGCTCTAGAGGCAGGAGGCGAAACTGAAGTGCCGCTATGCCGGCCAGGAGGCAGCAACGCGCCAACGCAGGTCGCAGACTCGCAGGGACGCCGACGGCCGACGCGGAGACGCAGGAGTGCAGGACTCTGGACGGCGGGAGGCGGCGCAAGTCAGCTGGGCAGCTGGACTGGAGGGCTACTCAAGGACGCGCGACGATGACGGCTGACCGGATGGGAGTGACTCATGGGAATGTGGAGCCCGATGTCGTGCCTTGACTACCTCAGTGGTTTTTATCGCTGGTCTGGTTTGTTTAATTGGTTTTTATTGATGGTATGGTTTGTTTAAGTCTGGTGTGATCTATTTAAATTTGATCTTTTTTGATCTGGTCTGTTTATCTTTTGTGCTAAATGTACACATTTATGTGTACACCTTTTGTACATTGATTTGTCTAACGCACAAAGAATTGTTTATTTACAGACAACTCTTTGTAATTGTTATGAAATGGAAGGAAACAAGGAGAAAAATCCTATTTATAGGAGAAAATGTGAGCTTAATCAAGTTAGGAGATGATTATGAGGCACACAATTATCATCTTGAAATCATAATTATGATTTCCCAATTATATAAGTAATGATTATAATAATTCTTAATCATGAATATTTTATCATAAAAAAGACGACTTTATATGAAAATTGAGAACACATATAAGACAACTTTCAAATAGATTTTACAGATCCTATCGTGAACCATAAGAATAAACATAGAGTCAGTCATCCAGGGGCGGATCCAGGAATCTGAGATGCCTTCGGTTGAATAGAAATTATACTAGGATTAAAGATTAGAGGGGTGAGCTAAACATGAAAAATGGAAAAAATTACACTAAAAAAATTGAAAAATTTCTAAGTTGCCCCGGCTTCAGCCTATCATAGCCCGTGCATAGATCCTCCCCTGCAGTCACCTCATTAAAATCAACCTGACTTGTTAAACCTTAAATGAGCAATTTTATGTCTAAAACGAACGAATCTAATCATTCATTCATTTTGCGCCTAAAATGAACGGATCTATACCTCATACAGTCATACACTTTTTGCTAATGATCCCAGAAAAAAGACATGAATATTAAAAAATTTAAAATCTGTTTTACAATCACATAGTATAAAAGAAATCGGTCAAATCCCATACATTTTTTTTTATTCTTCCAGTTATGGTACGGGCAGAATAATTCTTCAATATGAAATGGAAAACTCAAATTGCAGCGCAGCCCTACTTTGGATGAAGGCACTAATTAATCATACGGAGTCTATATAGCATAATAGCACGCGCCCAACATATTAAACAAAGGTTCATTTTCTTCGTCTTCATAATCTTCTACCAGAAATAGACGTTAAGTATTTGAAATGTTTATCTGTCTTCCATTAGGATACAACCAAAGACTCAAATCTAAAAACTTATAAGTGCAATGAAGGTTAGGGCAGTTTAGGTATATGAAATGTGTTGGTGTAAATTAAAGCATTTGACTGTTGTACACTAAGTTTCAGCTATTGTACCTCAGACAGCGTAACTACTATTCCCTACTTTGTAACTCTGTTTTCGTTAACCTCCGTCACCGTCTCTCCTTTTTCTGCTCTGTCTTATACATATGTTATATTGTTACAATTGAATTGAATGATTTAATTGACGTTGTAAATAATTATTACAATTATAGTTCTCTTATTTCGTACGACCAATGAGAAGTCATCATTCTTCGAGATCGGGCGCTCACCGTGACCCCTTCTGCTTTGCATCGCCGTTCCCCCTGTACGAGTTATTTTGCATTTCCTTTTTAAAAAATTAAAAATTCGATTAAAATTGACATGTACTACTTACCTAGACAACTTTTATTCATTACTTGAGGTTTGCACGTAGTAAGAAGTTAGGTGTTTAGGTGTCCGAAAGATGCATAAAGACAAATTTCAAAGCAACGTGGATTTATAAGTTGTTTGGATCTGATTCTTAAAACTGCTTCTGCTCCTTCAGGGAGCAGAAGCAGAAGCTAGAGTGTTTGGATGAAAGTGCAGAAGTGATTCTGGTGCTCAAATTTGCTCTTAGAATCATTTTTTTTAGAAGCTGGGGGTGATCAACTTCTGAAAACTGATTCTGATTCTGATTCTGCTTTAAAAAAAGAAGCAGAAGCAGAATCAGTTCCAAACACCCCCTTAAGCTATTGTGTGTTTTACTGCTTTTTACCTTATTTTCTTTTGGTGATATGAATGAGTTGTCCCTAGAGAGATGATGCTCATTTTAAATTATGCCAATGAGGTGTTTGATATATTGCTATTCTATTCTTTCTTTCTTTCTTTCTTTAGGTGTATGTGTACTTTCCAATTTTTTTACAAATGCTCAACTGATCGTACTCTTCTTAATTTAAGAGTGTTTCAATTGTATTTATAATTTACAATCTGGTTTATCTTTCATTATAATGATTAGATCATAATGCATTTATAGTTCACTTCATGCATCCTTTTGTTTCCATGAAAAGAAGCAACAATCGGAAGTGCAAAGTCTTAGTTAGTCTATTACCGGCTATATATGCAATTTTTCCTTTTTGGATGCACTGATACATTAGATGAATGAAAAGAGATCATATTCATTTGACGAATGGGGAAGCAAATTCACATGCAGGAAAAACATACTTGAATCACTTACTCTTCTCCCTTTCTCTTTTTTTTGCAGTGAGCGGATTTTCTTAATTTTTTCCTTGTTAACTAATTGCATTCATGTCTGTCCCACAACTTTTAATACAAGATCACGCAAGCTTTGCTATTCCAGGGACATTGTATCATTTGTATGTTACTTACTCCCTCTGTAACAAAACAATCTTCAATTCCTACTTTCTTTTTTCGTTCGTAACAAAAAAATCTTCTCACTTCTAAATCTTCTCATCATACCATCAATAATTCTAAAAATAATATACTATTACAACTACTTTTTTTGGATTTATCCTACATTCCATCATATTATTCCACTATCTTCCCATCATACCCTAAATAATTCATACCCTCTTTCACTATTCTTAATGTACCTACTTTTGAAATGGGAAGATATTTAAGTTACGGAGGTACTTATTACATTCTTTTATATTTTCTTTTACTTAGTCATTTATTGGCAATTTTTTTTCGTGGGCCTAGGATTATTGTACTCGTCATTTTGTTTGTTTCCAGTTTTTTATTTCTTTCTCGGAATTCTCGCATTGTACTCATTTTTATGGCTAAAGGGTCAAATAGGTCATTGAACTGACTTAAAGTGTTCAATTAGCCTCTTATATAGGATGTTCTGCCCGGACGTCGCTAATTAAAGCGGTTCCCGGTGGTTTTTTTTTTATGAAATTTTTTGAGCATCTTCTTCAATTCATTAAGTCTAGTTTACACATACCAAATTTCAGCTAAATATTCAACCGGGAAGGCAGTCAAATGAATTTCCGAAATGTACTGCGCTGTTTAACTTCACAGTTATCTTCGAAAAATCATTTGACTGCCTTCTCGGTTGAATTTTTAGCTAAAATTTGGTATGAGTAAACTAGACTCAATGAAGAAGATGTTCAAAAAAATTCATCAAAAATTTCCACCGGGAACTGCCCCAATTGGCAACGGCTGGGCAGAACCTCCTATATAAGGGGCTAATTGAACACTTTAAGTCAGTTCAAGGGCCTATTTGACCCTTTAGCCCATTTTTATTTGCAATAAAAGCTTTTGTTTAAAAAAAAATGGCAATTTTTTTTGACCGAGTATGTGTACTTTCATCGGTTTAGTAGTAAACTATAGGCCAAGCCTTCTTTTTCCATTTCTGTTGACAGATGCAATTAGAGGTTTTGGATTGTAATCCTGTTTGGTTTATTTAGGGGGTATTTCAGTAGCTCGATACTCGACTTAGATCTTTAGTTTTTTTTAAGAGGCAATGAAGGTAAGCAGATTTGGAAGCACATAAGATGGTTTTAGTTTCCTTATTAAGTTCACTTTAATTTCTAAATTAACAAAAATGAAACACACATTAAACCTTATGATGGTCAAAGTTTTAAACCTTCAAGGCTTCAATGATCCATTGATACAAGTAGAAAGACTCAACCGGGATGATAACCCAAATGAACATATACAATTTATTTTCACCAACCAAAAATAAAATTCAATGTTAACATTAAATAGAAAATTCTTGGGCATTTGGCTAATCGCGCAACGCGCGTAACAAAACTAGTGTGTTATATAGGGGGCTGAAATTTGCAGGAAACCCTCACTTTCTTCATCTTCAGAGTCCCTTATTCGCAGTTCACGTAGATTTTGAGAGTTGATCTCTATACAAGTGAAACCCCAACACTCACTCAGATCCAAGAGGTTCAAAACAGGACAACCAGATAATATCTTTTCAACTACAGACTGAGGCAAATTCACTCCTGATATTTCTAATTTAGTCAAAGACCACCACTTGATTGTTCTTTGAGGATCCAAAATGCAACCTTCCAAATACAATGATGTCAAGGATGAACTTGAATACATCATTTCACGAAGAATGTAGAAATCATCTTGACTGTAGTCCATTCTCAAACTGACTTCTTTCACATTATTTTCCAAGGCAAACTGGATCCAATTATCAACATCTGTAGAAAAGCAATCCTCGTAATTAAAATTAACCATCATTTTCTCAAGATAATTTCCACGACGAGTAGCAATTATCCTATTAACCCAAGCCACAAAATCAATTGTATTCTTACTTTCTTTACTTTCAGCCCAATCATAAAATCTGAATTCAAGGCTCCGTAATTCAGCCCAAAGAAATTGCCATCTTTTTCCCAAAATACTCGTAGTAGCAGCTTCCTTCATATCCAGTAAAGATATGATGTGAACAAGTAAGCAATCCGGCAATGCACTGATCCTATCAATTGAAACTCTAATTACATTGTTTTCCCTAACATTTTCGTGAGAATAAATTACTAGATTTTCAGCTCCAAATTCTTCTCCTTTGCGTACATCACTTTCTCCAGATTCTGGAGTTTCTTTCGCTAAACTAAAACACAATCACGAAATACAAGCACGGACTGTTCGAATCCAAACGACTGATTCCGTTGCCCTCGCTCGGTCAATAACTTTGTCGATCTCTGGAGTGAGAGAAGTACCTTTTTCAAAACAACTAGACTTAGGTACACATTTTTGTACACACACTTACACACTCGTGTCAGTAAAGTGTTTTGTTTTGTCTGTATACAGACACAACTTATTTCAAGACATTACAAATGCGTTGTGTCTGTATACAGACAAAAAAAAACACTTCACAAACACGAATGTGTGTGTACAAAATATGTGTAACAATAGTTTTTTTCTTTTTAAAAACTACGATAGAGACTAGGGTGTATGTTCTAATTGTGGACAAGAGGGTGTTGAACAAAATTCATATAAATATAAATCTGCATGCATTAATCAAATAATTAAAAAAATAAATAGAAATACTTGGATGAACCGAGCCCAACAAAAGAGTTGTCTCCTTAAGACGTTATTGCCCGACATACGTAGCAACCGCCTCCCAGGATAGAACGGTTCTTCGCTCCCAACGGGATTCCGGCGAACTCAAAGATGCAACGAAGAAAGAGAATATGGAGAAATTGATTTGTGAATTTCGGATTGATCCAAAAAATGAAGACAAGGCGGATATTTATAGAGCTCTGGCCAGGAGTCTCTAACCCAAAAGACACCTTTTAAAAGAAAGTTCATGACCTTTCTTTTAAAACGAATGGATGTGTCTTTTACTTGGTTTTATCCGAAAAGAAATAAAACGTAGCGAAAATTAAATCTTCCTATCTTAAGCCCGATTGTTGACTGGTCAAAAACCTGAACCCGAACCCGACCCGACCGACTGACGGCGGCAGTGTGTCCGTGTTAAATATATTCCACGCTTTTCTTTCGGGGAACAATTTCCCATTCATTTCAAAATGATTTTTACAAATAATATTAATGACTAATATTAATTTGTAAAACCATTTTTCCAACAATCCCCCACATTAGTGGTGGACTGAACCGGGCCGGTTCAGGCCTCGGGCCTAGGCCCGGCCGGGCCTCGGTTCAATAATAGCAGGCCCGAGCCCGAACCGGGGTAGGGCGGTCCCGGGTCCGGTTCCGGGCCGGACCGGGCCGGTCGGGCCACCCGGTTTAATTTTTTTTTTCCCTTTCTTCCCCCCCCCCCCACCCCCCCACCCCCCCAAACCCCCCCAAACCGGCCTAAACAGATAGCCCAAGCCCAACAGCCCAAAAAAAATAAAAAAAAAAATAGATTTGGCCCGAACCCGGGCCCGAACCGGCCGGGCCGGGCCGTCAAACCCATGAACCGAGCCCGGAACCGCCCCACCCCCGGGCCTCCGGCCCGAACCGGACCCGGACCCGGAAAACCAGGCCGGGCCGGGCCCGCACAGTGGCGGGTCGGGCCGGTCCCGGGCCGGGCGGCCCGAACCGAGGCCATGCCTACCCCACATGAATGGGAAATTGGCTTAAAGACAGGAAACCGATTGGAATTTGACATGGGAATATGGGAACTCTCCATAGGGTTAGGTAGTCGTGAAACTTTGAACCTACCGTAGTGTATATCCATCGGATTTACTGGACAATCGGTAGCACTTTGCTTTGAACCGTCAGCCATTGTGTAAACCTAGACAATCAATAACACACAGAGCCCCGGGTGCATCTTTGGTTCTCACGTTTGTGTTCATTTCGGTCTTGAACACCTCCTGGTTCTCTCCAAAACACCCCCAAATGCTCAATTTTTAAATTTCTCCAAAATGAAGGGTTTTGAAGAATAACTAACTAAATGATCATTTAAGCTCATTTTAAATGAATATTTGTTTAACTAGTTCAATTCACTATATCTCAAAAGTGATTTCATAAAAGTTGATAGTCCATTTAAAAATTCAAAAGATGTGTAGATGAGGATGGAGAGGGTTTAAAAGTGTATTAAAAAGGGGATAAGACTCGAATTGGACACTATGGTTTTTTGAGAATCTCATATTGGACATTAAGGTTTCAAATGGACCAAATTGAACACTATGGTTACATATTTATCTCATATTGGACAATGAAGTTTCAGAATTTGTAGTTTTTGGACACTCACTAATGATTCTCGATCCTCTTTCTTTAATAAAAATCGTTAGTCTTATATTTCCTTTCCTTTTTGGTGAAAATAAACTAATTTAATTACGTATATAATTTTGGAATATTTAATTTGATGTTTTAGAATATATATTTTGATTTTAATTAAATAACTTCTTATAGTTAACAATTTAAAAATATACTTAGGACTTTTCATTCATATGATTTTTATGGAACTTTAAGAAATATCGATTTGTTAAATTGATTTAACAATATTAAAGAATTCAATTACATTATAATAGATTTTCTTAATTGGAACTTCTAATTATAGGCGGTTGGGCTGGCACCCGACTAGCGCCTAGCACCTAGCACCTTTTAGAACATTGGTCTGCCATAACATTGAGGTAAATGAGCTTCTTTAGTTCTTCCTTCTTACTCATTCACTTCACTTTATTTTGGTAGTCAGCTAAAAAATTAGCCATGATTGAATAAGCACACAAACTAAAACTAAAAAAAAATATACACCAAGTTACGAACGCCACCCAAGTTTCAAAATTCAATTTAAAATCAAAATAAACTAAATTGGATTATAGCCGTATAAATTTAATACAATAGATGATACATTCAGTCTAGGTTCTCAACGCTCACCCCAAGAACAAAAAAGTTAAGTTGCATTCAGAAATGGTAAGTTTTCAAAATAGATAAGCCCATAAAGTCTACAACAAACTAGTGCCTGCTACCTGTCCACCAAACATTGGACACGTGATCACAAGGAATCAAAAAAAGAAGATTTCACAAAAGAAGTAGCAGTAAGAACAATCCAGTGGTAATGTTCAGAGGCTTCTCCGCTAGACAACATTTCCGTCATGTGCTCTTGCAATAACATTACATTTCGGGGGGTCTTACCTGAACTTAGGACGCTTTGGGAGGCTACCAATACTGCTTTGCCTTGACTTACCAAAACTCTTCTTCCTCCGTCGCCTCTCATCCTCACTGTCTGATTCATCACCTTTCTCCCTATCTGCATAGCTTGCTTCCTTTTCCAACTCTTCCCATGTTTTCCCTTCCTCTTCCTCTGACTCTTCTGCCTCTTCCTCATCATCATCATCGTCTTCAGACTCCAGGGATTCGCTATCAGACTCTTCATCCTCAGACTCTGATTCAGGTTCAACTTCTGTAGGCTCAAATTCTCCATCTGAATCCTCTGTATTGTCAGTCTCAGAGTCACTCCCATCCAAGTTCAAGAACTCCCAGCCTCCTTCATCAATGAACCTTTGTGGATCATCAATGATTGTTTTCAAAATGGGGCGCCAGTTCAGATTAAGCTTGCTCTCGTAGTACTTAATGTCAGTTGTGTCAAGCCACTCTTTGATTCCATCGAGTGAGGCTATAGGGATTGAATCTATACGCATCACATCACGTTTGAAGTCCTTGAAAACAATTGCCATGTCAAAATTCTTTTGTCCGAAACCCGCCCTCTCCAAGTTGACAATCTCTATCTCGCCAAGGGTGATGACCAGGAATGGTGTCTCTATAAGCTCAACCAAACAGCATGATGTTGGAACTATGAAGGCTGATGATTTGTAGGGAACACCATGAAACCCAAGCTCTCTGAGCGGTTGATCGAATTCCAGGTCGAGACCCTTGAACTGCGGTTGGGTCCAGATATCGTTCACCCGGTTTGCAAAGTTCTGGAAATCCATGTTGATTTTGTTCTTCCGGTCCCTCTCCCTCTGTTCTTCTTCGATCTCATCTGGGTCATATGCGGACCTCTTTCCGCCACCAAGAGTTTGGACCACATCCATCACCTCCACATAAAACTGCACATCCTTGGTTTTCTTGTTTCCAACCATTATGTGGTTGTGGAGATGAAAATGGAGGAGTGTGATCATTTCTTTCTCTGCTGGCTGGAAAAAGGCATGCTTGACATTTCCATACATGATATCAACACGTTCATCCTGTCTTGTGGTCGAATAACGGAATCCATTCATATGAGCTTCCAGAGTGCCGGGGAGCTTTCTGGCACGGCCGCCAAAAGAGGGACGGATCCATAAGTCTGGTAACCTGACTGGCTTGAATTTGTTTCCAGCCACTACAAGCTTCTCTTGAGTGACCAGTGTAGCCCTCTCAGCTCTTTCAGACTCCCTTGCCATAACATTGCGTCTAAGTGTTTTAATCTGCTGGTTCAATTCAGTTATATGACGAGAGTCCTTGGAACGATAAGAAACTTCTTTCAAATAAATAGCTGATTGATTCTTAGACACATTTGCATCACTTGATGCAAAAGGCATGCCTGGGACATTGAAGATGATTCGGATGTAAGAGTGGCGACTAGTGTCAGCCTGACTGGTCACGGTCTTCACAGTAGAGATATGGAATGGAACCATGCTTCCATATATAGGTAGAAGGAGAGCTTCATTCTTCTGGTCAACCTGAACCATCATTTCTTTAGGAGTTGGTGGTAGATCATTGACATTCTTGTAGGCTACAAGATCACTTGAAGCACGGACAGCAGATCGGTTGTCTCCATTGGCAACACCATCACCGGCAAGACGTCGAGCAGTTTCTTCATTCTTCTGCCGAGCCAGTTCGGCTTGGTGCTGCCTCCGCAGCTCTTCCTTGGATATCTCTTGGTTGTCTGAGCGCAGTGTTGCCTTTGATTGTAAGGCTTCCTTGCTAATGGACTCGGCTTTGACTTTAAGCTTCTCTTCCTCTTCATCCTCATTGAATGAGTATGCCACCTCCTTCAGAGCTTTGGAGATCAGTTGGGTTACCACATTACGGCCTTCGCTGGTTACAATCACCGTGTCTGCAAGCAGAAGTGAGAAGTTCCTCTTGAGTTTGCTGGTCTTAGCCACCACATTCTGAAAACCAAGAGAGACATTAAAAACCATTCCTGCTTTAAGCACTTTGTCATTTCTCGAATTAAGCAGCAACCCTGACTCTCGAAACTCCAGTCCAATTCCAGTTCCGGCCGTTTTTGTCAAGTTGCTAACCAGTTCAGGAGCTTCCCTCTCAACCACAGCAAGTGCTGCCTGATAAACAGCACTAATCTTGTTTCCCTGTTTCAAGGCATCAATTGCTGCCTCATGGGCTTTAAGAAGCACTTCATAAGCCTTGCTCTGCATTGGAATCGAATCAATGAGGAATGTTCTGGCAACATTTGAGCAGTAGCTGTTGTATCGAGAACCCACGGCACATATGATAACGCTGGCAGAATCATAGTACAGAGTATCATCATCGCTAACTGCACTGGGTCTGAGATCAAATTTCTCACCACTCTGGAAGATGGGTGGGTAACATATATCAATATTATCAGACTTCAGCTTCACTTTGACTTTAGCCGGTTCAAGCATAGCCTTTTCTGTCTCATCCGTCAATGAAGAATGTGTTACTTTTTTCTCCTCGTCTATGACCTTCTCAAGCTTTGGAACCACAAAGTTCTTCAATGTTGAAGCAGTCAAATAAGCAGCCTTCTTCACATTCATTATCTCATTCTGGTCTTTTACAGCTAAAATATCAGATATTCCATGTGT